AATAAAATGGGAAACAACTTGGTAGTAAATTTCCATTTCCTATTTTATTATTTTTTCCCACAAACTTTTAGGCTCTCTGAATTCTCAACTACCTCATATACTGCCTGTTGTGACAACATAGCTGAATTCTATTTGTTGCTCTGTTTAATGGACCCTTGGCTTTTTTAATGGAATTTAGCCATTTGTGGTGGCCATGTTCAAATGCCTGGTTAAATATGCTGTTTTTACCTTGCACTTTGTTCTGTATTGTGCACTTACATTTCTCATTTAAAAAAATATTTTTTTTTAGAAAACTTGAATTATAATATATATTTGTAATCAAATATATTCAACCAGCATTGAAAATCATCTTTGGGGATGCAGATCAGTCGCATGGTGGAAGAGCTTACTCCATGCAAACTGCTCATTGAGATAAACTTATGATTTCCAATCGAGAAGCCAAGGTGACAGAGCGGTGGACAGAGCTGGGGGGAGACGGCCGCTCTCCTCGCCCACACGCCGGATGCAGCAGGCCACTGAATACCCGCTCCCCCCCCTCAGGACCGGCGGGGGTGATCCCGGTCCAATCCCCCCAGGCAGCGGGGCTGAGTCATGTGCTGATAGGGGAATCTCTTAAGCAGCCCTTCACTATACGGGCCTACACAATGGCGGACGCCACACGTGCCCACGACAGCACCGCGGAAAGGCAAAGTCTGCAGACCAAACTTGATGCTCTTTTTGACACCTTTTGGATGACACTGGCGAGCAGAGGCCGACAAGCCGCAGAACAAAGGCACGCACCTAATAGAGAACCCGAACATACCCACCAGAAATGCACGGGCCCCCGCCCGAAGAGACTTACAAGATGGTGCCGGAGAAAGAAACCCATCCCACCTACATATAAACAGGGAAGACTGTGCCGCACAACGAGGCCTACCCAAAGAAGCTCACAAGCTCTCCACAGACCCAGCAGGCAACCAAGACCCACGACACAACCGGCGACTGGCAGGTTCTCCACACGGCTCAGAACCCATCCGAAACCACAGAGGGCCCCAGGATATCAGAGGGGTACACTACTTACCTACCTCACCGGAACAGGCCCCCACTACGACCGGCGGACGAGCCAGCCGCAGGAACCAGCGACGCTGCACCTTGCTGTGCCCCAGCGGGACTCTCACACACCTCCAATATCTTTCCCTGTGATGGGTGTAGGCTGAAAGAGGACTCACATGGCGAGAACCACAGAAGTACACACTTAAAGCCTCTGATACAACAGATGCTAGATATGCCATATTGCAGCCTCCTAAACAGAGACTCTTTACCAACGCAGAATTTGACAGAAATGTTCATTGTTTGACCACTCTTATCTAGCTAGCAATCTCACAATATGCGTTACATTCTTGTATATTGCTATCACATAGCCTGTCAGTTAACCACCTATAGAGGCTGAGCTTGGCTGCCTGGCACTCATGTATAACTCCTTTACACACGCAATTTACATGCATGCAACATACCCATGCCTTCACATAGAAGCACATGTTTAACGGCAAAGCCTACACTCTATGTTCCAGTTATTCTTTATTAATGTATCTCACAATTGCCGACATAACTAATCTACTCGCAACGAATTTACCTACACATACAACCTGTCTTATAACAAAAAATGTGTAACTGTTTATCGCCATGACTCTGTCTACATTATTTCGCCTGTGTCTGCTGTCGTGGCACTACAGGCTTGTTTTGTAAACTCTACTGCACCAAAAATAAAGAATTTAAAGAAAAGAAAATCAGCTATATTGTCAAAATTTACACACTTTCAGCTGTTTGCAATGAACACATAAAACAAAAGCAATTGAAATAGCTTTGAGTGCTTGAAGTTGTTTTCCCAAATTAAACTGAAAATGCAACTTATAATAACTTCTCCAGTCTCAAAATTATTCGACTCCTTCATAGCAAGCATATTTAGCACTTAGTAGAGCACTCTTTTGCTGTTATGACCTGCTGCAAACAAGATGCATAACCAGACACCCACCACCTTCTGACAATGTTCCTGAGGAATCTTAGCCCATTGCTCATGAGCAATGGCCTCTAGTTGAGTTATATTCTTGGGTTTGCGTGCTGCATTCACATTCTTCAAATCCGACTAGAGATACTCTATGGGGTTCAAGTCAGGTGACTGTGACCACTGTAGACTGTGACCATCTTCCACTGAAGAAAATGTAACTAGCACAATTAACAATGAGACTAATACAGCCACAAACTTATAAACTAAAAGTCTTTTAAAGAATAAAAGTAAATTTTATCAATCCAGTTTTAAATCTCCATCCTCTCAAATGTATATATATTAGATATTGATATTATGCTTCAACCATATGTCAAGACAACCAAGTCATATTTAAAAGACACCATCGACCTTCTGAACAAACTATCACATATCAATTGGAATGATGGCTACACACTAATTACGTGTGATATACAATTCTTGTACACCATAATCCCACTTGACAAAGGATGTCAAGCTGCTAGAGATATCCTAAAAAGAGATGGGTCCATGCCTGAAAACCAAATAGATTTTATTGTTAAAGGAATAGATATGATTTTAAAAAACAACTATTTTTGGTTTGGTGACTCTTTTTATCAGCAAATCAACGGCACAGCAATGGGCACCAGGTTCGCACACAGCTATGCCAATCTCTTTATTACAAAATGGGAAGCAAGAGCGGTGTAGAGGGGACATGGCTGGGTGGAGAACCTGGTAGCCTATTATAGATATATCGATTACTTGGTTTTAATATGGAATGGCCCAATACCCAATGCCCAGGATTTTATTACTTTTTTAAACAATAATGACGACAGAATAATACTAACAACTGATTTTAGTACTACTAATGTAACTTTTTTAGATTTAGATATATATATTAAAAACAATGAAATCCACACTAAAACACATTTAAAAAAATTAATGTAAATAATTTTATAAGTATGGACAGTTGCCACTATGATAGTTAGCTTAAGAGTATACCAAAGAGCCAACTACTAAGACTCAGAAGGAATTGTTCAGAGTTGGATATATTTAATAATAAAGCAAATTAAATTAAAGACAAATTTTTAGAAAAGGGATATAACACTAGCACTTTAGATAAAATTATTGAAGAAACTCGACATACACAGAGAGAAAATCTAATTTTAAGTACAAAACAAAAAGCGAAAACAAAAAAAATACTTCAAATTACCCATAGTTTTGGACTATAACATCAAAAATAAACAATTAAAGAAAATAATAAAAACTAATTGGCACCTCTTAAAAGAAAACAAACTCTTAAAGGATATTATCCCAGAGTGCCCAAAAATAGTCTTCAGAGGTGCCCCAAATTTAACGATGCAATTAACTAAAAATTATACAAAAAACACGCATTCAGTAAATATTAGTAGTTTTTTTTTTAACAGTAAACAAGGCTTCTACAGGTGCACATCAAGTTTTAAATCAAATAGAACTAATACAATTTACAATATAAGGAACACCATAACTTGTAATAGTAAACATTTAATATATTTATTGGAGTGCCCTTGTGGCCTCCAAAATATAGGAACAACAATAAGACCGCGGAAAACAAGAATTCGAGAACACTGCCGCAACATAGAAATTGGTTTTAAAAATCATTTGGTTTCCTCACACTTTCTTTCCCATAATACAGATCCCAGTAACCTCAAATTTATGGGTATAGCAAAACTTGCACCCCACTGGAGAGGTGGCAATATCATTAATAAACTTGGTCAAAAAGAGATGGAATGGATATACTATTTAGACACCCTCCACCCCAATGGTTTAAATGCAGACTTTGATCTGTACAATTTCTTATAGTTAAATCTAATAATTATTTTTTAGATACTCCTACACCTCTTAACTCCTATCTACTTTTTTCTATTTTATCCTCTTCCACGTTTAGGACTATTTTTCTTACTTGATTGCTTCTTTAAAAGTTTTTATTTTATATAGTGTATTTGTTATTGAAATCTCTATGCTTATTAACATACTGATGATTTTATATATAGGTATTTTACAATTTAAATATGACTTTTGTTTTCTTTATTTTACTTCCTCTTTTTCATATTTCTCCTATATGGAGCTTGTGGGACTATATGCTGTTGCATTTTAAAACGGTTTACTACAAACTACATCTACCATGAACCTTTGTGCTATGCATAATTTCCAGGTTACGCATAAAGCACAAACACTTCAGGAAGAACTACATACCCCAAGGTCCATAGCAATGTATTAGCCGCGATTCGTCACTTCTGGGTGTGACGCACATGGCTGAAAATGGAGAAAGAACTACATGTCCCATGAATGCTCGTCAAGTACCGAGTGCATCACGTTCCTTCCAGGTAACGCACGCAAATCAGAAAAAAGGAATCCCACACACCTGATTCCATTAATTAAGGACAGATATCACATTTAAACCAGGACTTGACAGGACTAACTACACTTCTAAAGGAAGCCCAGCCGTGTGAAACGCGTTAAGTGTTGGTACTGGAAGAATTTACTCTCTATTTATCCTTTATGTATATATTTTTTATTGAAAATAAAGTATTTATAATTTTAAAGGTATATTTCCATTTTATTTTTATTTGTTTTTATCATCACATTCCTGTCATCATCTCCTGGTGTATCCTGCATATCCTAGGTGGGGATAACACCACCAACGCTCTTCACACCAGAGCAGGCCATTGCTCTGTATATTGTAAGTAGGATACAGCTTTTTATTCTTTACTTTGTGTGTGTATATATATATATATATATATATATATATATATTTGTATATATATATATATATATAACCATAAGACCTCTTTATTGTGTTTTCTCATACATGCTGGACAGAACAAACCACCAAGCAGAGCTACAAATATCCATAGACAGGGATTGTACCGTCCAGGCGCATTAGAGCAGAGCTCTTAGCAGCTATATTTATTGATACAGAAATCATCCTATCTCTGCCTAAGAAGACTGAACAAACTGATGTAATTATATCTTCTGTTATATATTACCAATTTTTGTTAAATGTTATTGTTTTGGGGGCGCAGTTCATCACCCTGCTTGTTGTTATCTGTTTTGCCAGTGAGATTTTGGAAATTCTCACAGATCTACTGCTGCCCACCTACCTACTCTGTTTGTAGTGAGTGCTTATTCCTATCTATATTTGTACTACTTTAATGAATACTTCAATTAATCCATCTTTCCTTCCACATACTGCAATTTTCCAGTGCCAGAGGATACAAAGCATCCCCAGAGCATCACCGAGCCACCGCCATGCTTAACTGTAGGCAGAGTGTTCTTTTAAGCATATGTTTCATTCTTCTTCCTCTAAGCATACCGCTGATCAATTGGGCCGAAAAGTTCCAGTTTTGTTTCTCGCTCCACAGAACATAATCCCAACCTTCTTATTTATTTGATTTTGAGCACTTTTCTTGTGCTTTTGTGGCAGTAGTGTATGTCTTGGAGTCCTGGCATGGAAACCTTCTGCGTTTAGTATGCGCTTTACTGTGCTCACTGAAACCTTCTGCCCCATCCAGATAGTGTAACCACTCTTCCTTTAACTTTGAACTTGTGAACTATGCTTCCAACTGTGTCTCTAGGAACATTCAGTGCCTTCACTATCTTTTTGTATCCTGTTCCTTGTTTGTGAAGGGCGATGCTCTCTTCTCTTAACTTTGACCATTACTTTAACTACATGCAGTCTGTCACAGTGTATTACCCCAACATGCAGAGTTTAGGATAGCAAGGGACAAAACTAGGAAATAATGTATTACCGGCCTTAGGATGGCCGGACTAAATGTCAGACAGAGATGAAGCGTAATCAGAGACGAGCCGAAGGCAGGGTAATGGAGAGACAGCGAAAACGAGAACTAGCCAGAGTCAGGTACACGGTAATAGTCATATAGGCAAATAAGACACAAAAGGGTTAAAGATAAACTCAGAGCCAGATACAAAGCCAAGGTCAATACCAGAGTAAATACAATAGATCAAGGAACGCACTAAAGGGTACTGATACAGAAACCAGGATAGGGCAAAGTGGATAGGGCTAGGGAAGTTTAAATATCCCTAACTAGCATTTGAATGGCCCTAAAATGTGTGTGGGGGTGTCGGAATGACTTGGGTCAATGGGAGCCTGAATCTACTTTTGGCTCCCACTGCCCTTTAAGAGCGTGCTCATGACGCGAGCTGCACTCCTAGTGCCAGACGGGGCGTGTGACCGATCACTGTGGTCAGTGCACACGGCCCGCTCAGAAGGGAAGAATAAGCCACGCGCTGCTCATGTGGACGCAGGAGTGCTTGAGCCACGTGCGGCTCGAGCTTTTGCCAGTGTCCTCTGTAATCCTGTCAGCCTCCTGTGCTTCATAGCAGAGCTGCAGGGACAGGGGTAATACCTCCAGTATCTGTGTGTGAGGCTGGACAACAAGAAGAACTAATCACTTCCCATCTGCATGCTAACAGCATCTCAAACAGGAAATGCCTGTATAATCACTCCTGGTGGTCAAAAATCAATCATGAGAGGGTGACTGGTCTCCAGAAACATATGAGGGTGAGTTCTTTGCAAATACGCCTATAAAGACATATTTTTATGTCAATGTGTGTATGTGTCAATGTGTATCTGACTGTCAATGTGTCTATCTGAGTGTATGTCAGAATGTGTTAGTGTGTCTGAGTGCCAGTATGTGTGAGTGTATGTGTCAGTGTTTGTTTCAAAGTGCGTATC